TTAGTTACTTCTAGTTCTATTTTTTACTGCAAAGCTCTGTGCAAATAAAAGAATATCAAAAGGTATGGCTATAAATGCGCTCTGCTAAATTCCCTCTGCCTTAAAATGCCTGTGAACTGCCGCTACAAAATGCCTGCTGCATTTTAATGCCTTTCTGCAAGGCAACACGGGATGGTAGAAACAATACTGGTTTGGAGGCATGCAGACCCTGGTCCAGCATTCACCCGTTCTGTCACTTAACGTCACTGAGCCTCAATGTATTCATCTGTAAGATGTCAATCGAACATTGTCCTTGCAGGTTTGGTTGAGGACTAAATGACACAAAGTATGTAAAGCACAAATACTGTCTTTGAGATATCACAGCAGGTCAATGAATGTTAGTTTATTTTTTTCAGCCTGCAGCAGTAATGGGAGGAGACTAACGCACATGCCAAAGAACGCTCATAAAGTACTACAGCTGAGGCAGTTATAAACTGGGAAGACTAAGGCTGGATCGCAAAGCAGCAGATCGTGCCTTGGTGTGATAGTCAGTACATATGGGAATTTTTTACTCTAGGGCAGGCGTCCTCAAACTACAGCCTGCGGGCCACATGCGGCCCACCTAGGACATTTATCTGGCCCGCTGGGTGTTTTTGCCGCCGCTGTCTGTCCTGCTTAATAGCCAACTCATCCCAGGGCCTGCAGTCTAGCCCTCCAACAGTCTGAGGGACAGTGAACTGGCCCCCTGTTTAAAATGTTTAAGGACTCCTGCTCTAGTGGCTAAGTAGAAAATGACATGGTCTCTGAAATCCATTACAAATGTAAGCTCTGTCCAGCTCTACAGTCTTCTAAGAAGGGCCTGTTTAACTATACATCTGTCTTTAAAAATATAGGCAGGGTCATTTATAAAAAACCATTACAATATAAATCTGTTTTGTACCGCTTGAATTAATTTAACATGATATCTTAGCACTTTGAAAGTGTAAGGCTGGCATCGATTACCTACATATGGGTACAGCTGTAAAAGGAACTTTTTGTAAGAATGGGCAGGGCAACCAATAATCCACAAAGCCTGATCTTCTAACTAGCAACGTGAGCTGGGGTTATTGATTCTTTGGTTTGATATGGCTGCAATAGTATTTGAGTTACATCATAATCTCATGTCACATCTGAAGCTATCAAGCCAAAGATCTTTATTGCTAAGTTCCATAAAGCCGGGGAAATAGAACAGATGGCACACAAACAGAGAAGGAAGAAGGAAGTGGGTCCTGAAGATTAGCCTCAACATCCACTCTGGTTAGTACATTGCTAGAAGAACTACCTTGGAAGGTAGTAAGCTATAGTGGAAAGAATAGTCTTTGAAGTCACAAACTTTGTTAATCATCTATTTTCTATGAACCTCATATGCTTCATCTTTATTGGACAGGATAATAAAATCTATCCTTCAATATTCTTTTGCAGTTTTGAGATATTTACAACATTGGTTACACAGGACTTGTAAATAAGCTCAACCCAAGTGCCACCACCTGTAGATCTATAGTGGCTGAAGTTGTGGGTTGAGAAGATTTCTGAGACTATGTCTGGGCTCATTGGGGGAAAAGCTGTAATTGATTAGTGACGTCTGTTCTGGGCTGAAAGTAGAGTAAAAGTATGTATCAATGTATTTACTAGATAAACGTTCTATAAATTACTACTATTATGACAACCACTATTATAACAAAGGTATCTGTATGTCCCTCTTCAAATTGCTCAATCTCTACATCTCCAGCACAAAATAAAATCAAATAATTGCATTCATTACAATAGTTGCATGTATAATTTTTATTAATTTGGAGGTAAACTTAGGCATTTATCTCCTGAAAAGAGCTAAAAATTAAAAATCAGAATTTGCTATTCTTTAGTATATAAAATACTTGGAAAAAAATCGGATACAGTTACTAATGGTAGAATGAGTGTTGAAGAGGGAAAAAGAGAAAAGATACTGAGATGCAGTCTCAGAAAGGTTTGCACGGTACTCCATATTTCTTTAAAATATTCACACAAGGGAGAAGATACAGCATGTTTTGCCCTTAGATGGTCCATGACTTTCTGGAGTTTTTTCCTGTTTTTTCTCTGGGGCCAGATTTCTTTTCTGGGTAAGTAGTCATGTTCCTGTAAACCACAAGGGATTTTCTGAATCCTGAAAAGCTGATTTGGTATTCTTACCCCATTCCTTTATTTGAACAGCAATCTGAACAAATCCATATTTTTAAATTTATGTACTTATAGACATATGGAAGAATAGTTTACAGTCTGAATATGATTTTTTTCACCACAAATGAAAGAATGTTGTCTTTTATTTTTAAAAAAATTCTTATCAGGTTTTTTTTTTTTTTTTTTTATTACTGATGACTTCATTCTACTTGAATTCAGTGCTTCAGTTTCTTTGGGGTAAACTAATAGATTATGTATGCGATGTTTGCACCATGTTGATTGAACTCATCTGGCGAGTTTGAACACGGCTCATGTATTTCTGTAATCGGCAGAAGCCTGTGCATTGGATACAGACGCCATGGTCATCTCACATTACTCGAGAGTGGACTGTTTCCAAACACACTGCACTGTTTCCCCGCCTGCTCACGGTTCAGAAAAGCTCATCGAGCCTTTTAGAGTTTTCTTATTGTTATCTTTTTAAAGCGCTCAAAGTAAACATTTGCTTAAAAAAAAAAAAATATATATATATATATCATACAGAGTGTAATAGTAGACATTGGAAACTCAAAAAGGAGGAGGCAGGGAAAGGAGTAAAAAATCATTTACTAGGGACAAAGTACACTGGTCAGGTGATGGGAGATGAGCAGCCCAGACTTCACCACTCTACCTACAATATATCCATTATCAAAACTCCACTTTTACCCCCTAAATTCACTGAGATAAAAAACTAATTAAATATCACAAAGAAAGAGAGTTAGAATTATTTTGAGGGTTTTAAAATATATACTGAAGAAAAATGAAAGTATGAGAACCCTAAGTGCTTGTCTTTTCTGAACGAGAAGCAGCAGCCACCGAAGGTCTGGGGAGGATTCTGGAAGCCGGAAGCCTGTGCGGCTGCCCTCAGCGCGCTCGCCCGGGCACAGGCGTGGGCTTGTGCTCCTGCTTTTGGATAACTTGCCATCTAGTTTGGGAAAAATGCTTTTCCTCCCAAAGGTGTTTACTCGGCATCTTCCTTTTATAGTTTACAAGCATAATTTTTAAATATTTTAACAAAATAGATGACCTCTTTCTATTCCTTTTAGATACCTCATTTTATCAGATATCTCATTTAAACTAAATCTCAACTATAATATTTGGGGATCTTTATGACATACAAGGCTCTTCACACTAAGGCCCAGCTTACCTCTCAAACCTCCCATGTCCCTCATTTCCTACCTCTCCTATGTACCCAGCAAGCTACAGAAGTGATTCTTCCATAGCCGTGAAACACGAGTGTCGGTGTGTTAGTAAGCTGTTACCAGCTGGGTTAAAGGACCGAAATGTGCAAGTGATGTACTTTTCATCAGTTATTAGAGTCAATTCAAAATATCCCTAAAGTCACCAGCACTGACTTTATTCTAGTTTGGTCTAACATGAGTCCCCTGGCCATGTGTGTGACCAGGATGGAAGAAGTTGAGGACCACTGCTCCCCGAAACTGACTCCCTTGCATGTCCCTGAGGGAGATGCTTTCTCCCTGCCGCGTTTGCCCCACCCTTCCCTCTGCTGGAACATCCTCATCTCCCCCGCGTAGCCACTGAGCACCGACGTGTTCTTCAGGGCTCAGCTACAGCACCACCTCCTTGCCTCCTCCATGGGCCTTCTGTGATCCTCCATGGCTCTGCTCTCCCCCAGTCCAAGCTTCAGCACTCTGTGCTCCCAGCACCCCTCTGCAAGTGCCCACCCCCATCACAGTGGGCATTGTCATTCAGGGGTGGGCAGCCTGAGGCCTCCAGGCCAGGCGTGGTCTTCCAGATTCCCACATGCGGCCCCTGACTGAATCCAAACTTCACAGAACAACTTCCTTTATTATGGAGATTTGTTCTGTAAAACTGGGATCCAGACAAAAGGCCACACTCAGCCATCCAGAAGGCCACAAGTGTCCCCCAGGCTGCAGGTAAGGACTGTGGACTGTTCATTTTTATCTTCCTAGATCTTAACATAAGCTCTGGCACAGTGGGGCATGCGGTCACATCTCAGACGAAACAGAGAAGCTGAAGACTGTTCAGATCTGCCCATCATTCTCCTCTTGCTTCCTGGCCCTGAATTGCATTGCTTGATACCAGTTCTGTTGAAATGATCTCAATAAATGAACCCAAGCTTAAAGGGAGGTGCTAGATGCAGAGTTTGGGGTTGGGGGGGGTAAGTTACTGGAAAACTGTAATTCCGGACAGCAGCAGTGGAAGAGGAGAGAGGAGACAAGGACAAGGACACTATTGTCTCCGAGCCTCTGCCACCCTTCTGTGACTCTTTGGCATGGTTTTCCCCGTCTTTTCTTTGCCTGTGCCCTGGATGTACCCATACATTGACAGGTATCCCCCCAACTCCTCCCCTCCCCAAATTCATGAATCTCATTGAAATGAACTCCAGCACATGCCAACCCTGTCTCCTTCACATGCAAACAACTAGCACGCTGTCCCAAATAGGCGACACTTATGTGAGAAACTGAAATACCCACATTAAAATTTAAGAAAACTCTGCATGTATGAGTATAAGAAAAAAGTGATGGGTCTTTTAATTGCTCTAAAAGGTCAGGACTTTATCTTGCCTTCTCATTCAAAACACATTTATTAATCTCAAGTCGGATGTTTTCGCCCTTGGGGTTAACGGTAGGCACAGAAGGATCATTTCTGTGTTCATTTTTATTACTGATTTCACCATTTTCCTAGGATATTTGAATTAATTATTGAGTCTTTCGAATTTGAATGTCAAGCTCTTTACTAAGAAGATCCAAAAGTGACTTGAGGATGTTGCACCCACGTGACCATGTCTGTCTGATTCTGTCCCCTAGTGTCCGTCCCCCGAGTGGGAGCACCGACCGCATCCAGAAGTTGAGGAAGGAGTATTATCAGGCTCGGCGGGAAGGCTTCGCTTCGTATGAGGACGATGAAGGGAGAGCAAGGCAGTCTGACTACGACTTTCTCTGGGTAAGCCCATGCCTGATTCCAGCCATGTGAGTTCATCTGTGTTAAGATCGTTTAAAGCAGAAGAATATGGTCAAGAATGTTCTCTGCCTACCAGATTCTATTTAGGCTTCTTAAGTTTCTTAATGTAGATATGAACATTATTCAAACCACAGCTGTCTTCTCCCACAGAAACCGTTTACGTAAATCCAAACCACGCTCACGCCCAGGAGTCCTTTCTAATTGCTCTCCTGCTTACCTCCTGTCTGGGGGGAGCAGAAGTTAGCTACTTTAAAGAGGACAAAGAATCTTTGTCGCCATCCACTGAACCTCGATCCTGATCTCAGACATCTGGGACAGCATCAGTAGACTTTGCAACCTAAGTCATGTCTCCTCTGGAAAATGATTATTAGAAGTAAATTTTCAGAAGAGTTATTGTCAGAGATATCAATTGTTTGTTTATTGGATCTGAGCAGTTCACATTCTGCTGATCTTACCAGTAGAGCAGGATGGCTTTGTTTTGAGATAAGGGCTGTTTTTGTATTAAAGGATTCTTTCTGCCAAATCCATCAACATTCAGGGAACAGAAAATTGTGACCACTGAAGAGGTACTCTCTGGGTATTTTCAGGGTAGAATGATTCATTCTCTTGTTTCTTCTAAGAAGGCAAGTCTGTGCCTACAAAACACACTCAACTCGAGCATCCACAGAAATGCCCCAGAGGAGGCATTTAGAGGAGGCGCTAAGAGGTGGATTAAATTTTTGTGCCTGATACAGAGAACAGTGGCTGGCACAGAGTAGGGGCTCAATAAACACTAGCCCTCATCACTAATGCCATTACTGAGGAGAGCCAAGCATGCCCACTCTCGTGTCTTTGCTGTAATTCAGTTCTCCCTCACGCTCTTTGATGGTGATTACCGCCTTCTACTACAGTTTTAGTGCTGTTCTCAGAATCAGGTAAGGGAATCTATTATCCCTGGTGCCCACTAAGGACACCAGCTGCTCTGAAAGGCAAATCTATGAAAGGGAAGTTTGCTCTTCTGCGTCTCACACTCACGTTCATGCTTCCGAAGTCAGGCAGGGGAGAGTAGAGTTCAACGTGAGCCTTTCCCCCCAGGGTTCACGTCTGTGCTGAGCTGTGTGTCCCGAGTGCCGCTTACACTGGGGCAGTTTCAGAATCTGAAAATCCGCTTCAGAACCCAGCGCTATTGGGCAGAGCAACTGAAACTCCTCGGCCCGGGATATCCCTGCTGTGCAATGAAGTTTAAAAACATTACTCAGAACTACACAGTGAGGACTGGCGATCTCAAGCCAAGTGGCTTCAGACGATGGATCAGAACAAAGCGCTGTGTATTGGTTTTATTATGGATGTTAGGATTAAACAGAATGACACTTACAGTGATGGGGAAGCTTGTCTCTTAGACTCTCAGTAGCAGAGGATAAAGATTTCCACAGAATAACAGATTAGATAACAATTCACTCCTTTTCAAACTTGATCGAGATCGACTGACTGCCTTTGACCAGAGAAGGGAGCAACCTGTTAGGTAAGGCTCGGCTCCCTCAATAAACCAGCAAGCAATAAAGTAAAAGAAAGGTATTTCCTCTGTAACCAAAACAGAGCACCATGTCGAATGCGCTGAAAAGTGTTCCATCTCCAAACCACTATGAATTCCTATGAGCAAAATCAGACGAGTAATTTTAGCTTAAGTAGTCCTGGTTATTTTGATCTCATTTTATATGACTTTCTTACAACAAGCTGAAAGGATGAAGATGCTTAACCTTTATGAGACTTAAAGTTTCCTCTGACCCTCAGCAGACCTGACGTAGGTAACTATACCCTTGGGCGCTCCCTTTTTTAATGATTCTGTTTTTATGCCAAGTAAACGTGTAACCAGACCATCTAGTGAGGAGAGAAGTATCTCTGTTTTAATTTGTGTTTCCCATGCTCCGGTGTGTTGAGCTTTGCCAAGAGTGACTGATTTTATGTTTCCCAGACAATTGGGGCCTAAGGCTTCCCAAAGGGATGCTTGGGAAATGCACTGTCATAAAAGACGAGTGTTCTTTGTGATTGCCTGGGATACTCCAGACCAGGGATTAGAATCTCAGCATCCTTTCCTCTCCTCTCCTCAAGCCAAGGAAAAACACTAGTATCTTTTGTTCAGCATAGGCCTGAGAAATAACACCGCTGGCTTGCTACTTTGGGTGAGATCTAGGAAAGCTAGTTTAGAAAGTTAACATTTTCTTCCTGTCAGGCAGCCAGACCCAACAGGGCTGCTTTTAGGAGCCTGTGGTTCCTAGGTAGACAGACCTTCAGCATCACAGGGGGCACCTGTTAAGATCAGATTGACAGTTCTATGTAGGGCAGTGGTGGGACCCAGGAGAGGTCCCCTGGGGCTTCAGCAGGGGCTCATCCAGCATTCTAACCCACAATTCTAAAAATAGGGCATTGACTCTGACCACTTCAGTGAACACCAAAGCAGTCGAACTTCTCTAACAAACCCATTGCGTGCACCACCATTCTCAGAAATAGGTTCATGAACTTAGAACTCTCCAAGGCCAGGACCTCAGACTGAGAGACCTGACAGATGCTTCCTGGAGTCATTCTACACTCATGAACTTCTGAACTGTCCAGGAGGAAGTTAGGAAGATAAGTTACCTAAGAACTACTTTTAAACTAGTTTAAAAATAGGCCAGAAAGAGTGAAAGTATCCTCACAAAGTGTTCAAAGCCAAAATAATGAAAGTAATCACTTGAAAGATTATTAGAGTCTGTGAATAATTAAAAGTGTTTGTTTTCAACAAGACTGATGTCTTTTTCTTTGGCTTGTCCCAGATGTTCTAGACCTTCCCGTGCCATCTGGTCGTTACTTCTCTACTAGCATCACACCTGCCCAGTGGCCTAGAGCCTAAGCCTTCTCTCCCGGCTCCCCAGGTTCTCACTTCCTTCCTCTTCTCTCTTTCTCTCGCTCCCCTCCCCTTCTCCTCTTCCCATACCTCCTCCACTGTACTGTACTCTCTTTTTCCCTTCTCTCTTTTCTTCATAGCCTGTCAATTTTAACAAGTATTCGCTCAATCTGAGTGTAGACCGGTGCTGGTAACAAGGATATGACATTGTTTCTACCTTAGAGGACTCACGATCTCGCCGGGAGTACAGATATCTAAGCCCAAACAAAGTAGAACCATAATACGTGTGATATATGCTGTAGTATAGAGAGGTCTTAGCTTCTATAGGAACTCACAGCGACGAATTCTGCTGGAGGCAGGGTGTGCCGGTAGCTGGAGACAGCCTGACGGGAACGCAATAGAGACAATTTGGGAATTGCCTGAGAGGACATATTTGGTTCTTTTTGTCTCTCAAACTTGGTGGATTTTGTTTGCTTTTCCAAAGGAGCTCCTAACTTATTCGCTTCATTTGCTTTAAAATAAATAACTACACACAGATTGTAAGATTTGTAAATATGGACCTGAGACCTTAAAAATCTTTTCAGCTAGTCTGAAAAGCAGCAAAGAACATGTTGAAAGAATTTCAATGGCTGCAAGTGAAACGTTCTAGGAGTTTTTATAGGCACAATTAAGTAAGCAAGATATGCTCGCTGTGAAGAGTTCGTATTTGCCAAAAGAAAACCTAATACCTGTTCTCTGCTGGTATTTTATCTTTTGTAAAACTTGTTAAGACTGTCACCGTCATCTGGCAATGGGCTGCTTTTTTATTAGCAGATAAAGATTATCTACTTATTTAACAGCAGCATTACTCATAAGTAATTTCAGAAGTAGGATGGCTCTGAAGTCTTTTTAAAAATATTAACACCTTTCTGGTTGTTATTTTCAAGAGCTGTGCAGTGTGTGTCACTATCCCACGTCCTTTTAAAAAAGATCTTTGGCTAAATAAGAAGATGTTTATCTATGAAAGGTTTGTAGACACATGGATGGGAAGGGAGGACAAGTTTGTTTATATATGGAAAAAAAGTGGGAGTTAAAACATCTTAAACTAGCACAGAATGCTAGTTTCCACTGCCATAAAAAACACGGGACTGCCTCTTCCTGGCAAATGGGATTGGCTCAGGTAGAGCTTGTTGGGTGAATAAATGTAAACATTCTGAAAGATTTGTTCCCCCAGCATGAAGATGCTGGAGGAGCCAACTTAAAGAAACGTATTTGGCAGCTGATCTGGACAATGAAAGACAGATCCAGTGAAGTCTGCACGTGGAGTAAAGGGAAAACATGACACTGAGCTCCTGCTGACCATCTTGGGCAAGGACGTAAGGGAGAATGTGCCATCGCCAAGCAAGGGGAAACTGTCGAAGGTTAAAGAACAGGGAAGACAGAGCTGGAGCTTAGACTGCTGTCACTGGGCCAGTACCAGAATTGAGACTTGTGTGTGTTTTCCTGCTTCATAAAGGCATCAGATAGAAACTGAGGACGCTGAGGAGCAATTCTAGATTAGTCACGACTCTTACATTGCAAAGAATCCAAGCCTAATTCAAGCCAGCCATTAGGAGTCTCTTTATCTCTCAGCCTTGCTATTCTCTCCACTGACACCATTTCTGAGGGGCTCCCAAATGACAGAAAGACAGCCATCTGCAGCTCCAACACAGCTCTGTGGAAAGAGACAGTGTCGGTCCTAGTCGATCCAGGAAAAATCCTATAACTAAGATTTAGTACACTGTTCAACAGCTTGATCAGCCATCCTGGGTGACATATCCTCTCCTGAACCAGTCCTCATGTCCAAAAAGATGTCATACTTTTCCTGACTGGAACCAGGTCCCAGGGCTACCCCGATAGCAGAAAGTGAGTTATGACCACCAAAACTCCACAAATACAGTTCAAGTGAGAAGGTAATTCCCGGAGAAAAATCAAGACGCTATTAACAGCAAAAGGGAAGGGCGGCGCCTGTGGCTCAGTCAGTAGGGCGCTGGCCCCATATACCTAAGGTAGCAGGTTCAAACCTGGCCCTAGACAAACTGCAACGACAACAAAAATAGCTGGGCATTGTGGTGGGCGCCTGTAGTCCCAGCTACTTGAGAGG